ATCAAAGCTATAGCCGCTATATTTACACCAAAAACATGCTTTCAGACTTGTGTATAACAAAGACAAATTTACTCATGATCAACTTTTATTGGAACAAATGAAAGCACTAAAATCTTTCAAATTGATATTTATCAAAATTTTACACTTTATGTTAAAATACAAACTAGAACTAGTGCTAGGGCATTTTACGTTTTTGGTTAAAAAAAAATTTGAACCAAAAACAAAATGTAATCTAAAAAAAAAGAACTTTAATTAAAAAAATTCTGAACGATATTTACATCAACAACAAAGTAAACTGTTTATGTGTACTAGACGCCTAGTATAAAGCTCCCGATGTGTATAAGTAATGCCAATACAAAATTTCTTCTCTTTTAAAAAAAGTATAATACTTAAAACATTTCGATAAATTAATACTTATTGAAACACGCTAAAATTTAAAAGATTAAGTAAAATATCTCATTTGAAATAATATAGAGATAAATTTATCGTTGCTTTATACGTTTATATGCTATTGACGTATCATTTTATCATATTTACAACATTTTATGTCGAAGTTGTATACAACTGTTTCTTGGACATTTACTTTGTATATTTTAGACTTTTATCTTTTTTATATACCTATCCCAATCAATCTGTTATTTTGGAAAGGTTACCTGTTGCATTGTAGTTGTATATATATATATATATATATATATATATATATATATATATATATATATATATATATATATATATATATATATATATATATATATATATATATATATATATATATATATATCAAGTTTCCAATTTACAATAAAATCAACTTAATTTAGTCCTTTTCTTTATTGGTGATATTAGATATGGTTAGAACCACATTCTATGCGATGCATTCTATGCGACTGATGCTATGCTTTGCATAGTCTGAGTCGAAAATTGTGTATTGGCACATTTGACTTTTTTTTAGAGTTATTTATTTAGTTGGAATCTAAAATAAATTGTAGAACATATTATTTGTTCTACATTTTATTTTAGATTTCAGAAATTAACTCTAAATAGGATAAATATGCAATTCTCACTTTTTTTTCAAAGTTCTTATTACCAATTTGTTTGGCTTTTCAAAGTTCTTATTTCCTTTGTCTTTAAATTTCTTACTTGAATTTTGGCATTGTTGTAATTGTTAATGTAAAACTGTAATTGTAAACTGTAAAACGCCCCTCTCTTTAGTTCTGGCGTTTTGGATTCGTTTATGAGCTTCCAGATAAGTTATTTAAATTCAAAATTAAGTTTATGGTCTAACCAGGAAATTAACTTTTTATGAAATTTATACTTGGAGTTTTAAACAATCTTCATTTTATATTTGTACGTGGTTTGTAGTGTTAACAATTTTTCCAATTCTGTTTCTTGAGTACATTCAATTTTTGTAACACTCTTCAAAAATCATAAACATTCAGATATTTTAATAACGTTACCAGTCACAAAAAAAAATCTTTATTCTTTAATTTCATTTAAAAAGTTGTGTACTGTATTTGTAACTGTAAGTTGTGTACATAATTTGTTTACAGAATTAAAAATCAACAAAAAAATTTTTAAAATTTTTACAATGTTTAAAAGAATTTGAGGTTTTATCAATCTAAACTCTGAAAGCCTGTTTAATACTCTTCCGATTGATATATAATTTATGAAAGTTTAAAGCTTCGGTTTAAAAAATAAAATTTCGAAATTATCACACAAATTATTTCAAATTATTCTGAAATAATTTGAAAATAATAACTTTGAGCAGTTGTGAAAAATCGCCAGTTGGTTTAAAAAAAAATCCATCCAGAATATGAAAGTATGATCAACTTATGGAACCTTTGTACCCGCTGGGTTGTCTCTCATACGCAGTATAAAAAACAATTCAATGATAAAAAATAAGGATATCAGAGAACTGTCGGTTATTATTAATTAACTATTTATTTCAGTATTATACTTTAGATAATGTTGTAATATATATGGATATATTTTTTTTAATATCATTTATTTAATATATTGTATTACAAATTATAAAAGTTGAAATATATTATATTATAAGATTCACCTGTTTTTGTATTATTCGTTTGATCATTATTGTTACCATTCCATATTTATTTTCGTTATCTTAATCATTATTGTTAACATTTTTATCACCATTGTTGTTATAGTTATGTTTCTTATTCAGTTCTTCTGCATCAACAAGCTAATTGCTTTCATTATTTTGCGTTGTTTCTATCGGTTTTTTCTACCTATTTACCTTCCATTAGACATTTTTACAGCAAGGAACTTTAAGCATAAGAAAATAGAAATGTGTTTTTTACTGGTAGAGCTCACCCAACCTTACATGAAGACAAGATAGGTAACTATTCACATACAGTTTTAAGAGTCGCATTAGATATATTAAGCATGACTTTTGATATCGGCAAATACAGTTATGAAGATGATTTCGTTTTTGATATAAACAACTCTTTAACTTGATCCATTGCCATTGTTATCTACAAAGAATGGTGAATACCAGCGAACGTATGCGTTTAAAGCTTGATCTTTTCAATAAATGGTGCACAACAATTACTCTCTTGACAGAAAATAAGACAGCATAGTTGACAGTCTTTTCTTTTCTTTTTTTTTTTTTAAAAATATTTAGCGTTTTTTTTTACAATATTCTTTATCAATAAAATTTAAAACTATTTTTAAAACTTTTTTTTTCTATGAGTTTTTTTTTGAGAGCCAGGTTGACATAGACTTTTGAATAAATTTTTTTTGACAATATAAAGGATTTTATCTCAATTACTAAAGAATTGAAACCAAGTATCTTCACAACTTGACGTGATGGTGACATTTGGATTGCATATTTAAAATCAAAATGAGAAATGCTATACGAAAAACGTTGTTTGCTTGGAAACAAAAATATATATATATATATATATATACTTTTTGTTGGTCTGTGATATCTAACGCTTTAGTAAATGCCTGCTTTACATTACAGTTTTTACTGATGTGTCAAAATGATGATGATTTACTGATGTGTCAAAAGCTGTAAAATTGATGTGTCAAAAGCTGTAAAATTGATGTGTCAAAAGCTTTTGATACTGTAAATCATAAAGTACTTGTAGAACACTACGGAGTTTAGTTTGAAAATTAGTTAGTTTGAAAATTACGGAGCGAAAAATAAAAACTGAATTAAAAAAATCACCTTAAAAATTTTTTTTTTTTACGGTGAAAAACATAATAATAAATAATAATAAAAAAAAGAATCAAAGGATATTTAAAAAACAAAAAGCAGTTTTTATATTATAATCAAATAAAAACGATTCTACACTCCATAACTTGTGGAGTTCCTGAGTGTTTCAAGACTACTTATATTTCTTTTAAAACATATTTTATTTGCTAATGTATTTGATGATATATACATACATACATTCATACATGCATACATACATACATACATACATACATACATACATACATACATACATACATACATACATACATACATACATACATACATATATACATACATACATACATACATACATACATACATACATACATACATACATACATACATACATACATACATACATACATACATACATACATACATACATACATACATACATATATGTATGCAAACATACGTATAAACGAACAACTTGTCTTGCAAGGTTGATGTTACGAGCAAAATAGTGTAAACAAGTAATAACAGTTATAAGCTGAAATCATAAACTTATATAAAATGTAGTGTTTAATTGATTAGAGGTCAAGCTTTTAGAGTAGGCCAAATCAAAGTTTTTTTCATCGTTGCTTTTTTTTATTTTTATCACAAAATGAAGAGGGTCTTGCAAAGGTAATTACGTCGACATCCACGATTGTTTAAGGTCGAAAATGAGTACATTCGAGATATTTTAAAAAAATTGGCTATTTTGTTGACAAGCCTTTAAATAATAGTCCACGTGAACCTAAGTAAATAATGAAATCAAAAATTTAACGTCACTGTTTTATTCACCCGTTTTTCATTTAAAAGTCAATTTCATTTAACTTTCAAGTTTAGATGTTCTACAAGTAACATTCAGTCAAAGACTTTTTTTATGTCATGGTTCTAACTTAGCTTGTTAAAATTTTTTATTGTGAAAAGGTAGCTTGTTGCTTGATTTAAAAACTAGAAATCAACATATGAACCAGAAATGCAACAGATTGAATTAGTTTTCAAGCTTGATATAAATCAATTTATGTGTCGTTTCACGTGTATTTAGTGCTAGATTATTTTAATTTTTAACGTGTACCAAAACTTTTATTCTTTTAAAGAGCTAGATATATTTAAATTTTATTTAAATATTAAAGGAATTGAAAGTTGTTGAATATAAGAAGTAAAAGTTTAAAGAATTAAATACTAAAAGCAATATAAAGACAAAGTAACAAATTTATAACTTAGAAGTTATCAATGAAAGGTTCCATCATAAATTTTGAATGGATCTGAGAATTAATTAAAAAATAAATTAAAAAGAAAGTTCAAAAAACTAAAACTTGAAGAAATTAAATTAAAAAAACTTAATGTTTTTTGTGAGGTTGATTTGCGTCAATTATTTTTAATCTTGCTATACAAAATGGTAGCAATTTTTATTTTAAGGAACAATTTTTTAATATCGTAATTTTCTTTATCTAAAATATTTCAACTTTATCTCTGTTTCTTTAATTTTTTTTATCTTATCTTATAATATTTCTGTTCTATCTTGAAACTTGAGGAACTTTTATTTACGTTAAGCATTTTAGCTTTTTGCTTTTTTTTTTTTTTAATTTAGCACATAGATGAAGTAAAAATTTTATTGAAAAATTATAAATTAGTTCTGAAAGTTGCTTTTACTGGAAAATTTTAATATTTTCAATAGTTTCTTTTGAACTGTTAAAATAAAAATTAAATGACTTTACATAATTTATTCAAAAAGTTACGTAATTTATTCACACAAAAAAATATTTTTCATTATTATATTCTATAAAATATTATTACAAAAAAACATTTTCATAAATAATTTACAATAATTTTACAACATTGTTTTATCAAGATTATTGTAGAAACCCATAAATTATCATGTAAAACTTTTTTATACTTTATATTTACAATTGTAAATATCAAATCTTTTTTTCAACTTTTTCGGATGTTGTTAATAATTATCCTACTGACTAATATCGATCTGATTCAATTTATGGAGAGAAACTCGTTTAAAGCGCTTCTAATATAGTAACCGTGAAATAATTCTTAGAAGCATTTTGTATGCAAGATGTTTTTGCCGTATTCCGTGTATTCTTCAGCAGTTATCCACAACTGACTCATTGTTGTCAGTGATGATATTATTTTGGCGCCCTCCCAAGCGCATGTTGTTGTATCCCCAGGTTTTAATATTTTTACATTCTGAAGCTTTTCTGTTAAAGTTAGCTCATCGAGTAATCTTTGCTCTAATCCAACTAACTTTGTCGTTCCACCTATAAAATAGTAAGAATTTTAAATATTTTCAAAAATGAACAATACTTACTTATTAGCCAACAATTTTTATGAACTTAAATTTAAGGAGCAATCTTAAATCAATTACCTGCAAGAACTATATTGCTTGATAAAAGTTCTTTAAGGTCTTTATCTGTCTTTAAAATGCTTTTAGAGATCAAGCTGTGAATTCCAGGGCAATCTAAACCTATTAAATCTGGTCTAAAAAGAAGTTCAGGCGCTTTGTAGCATTCGGAATCCAAACTAATGTAACGGCCGTCAGGAAGCTTGAAATCAATCAAATAAGTTACTCTTTTTAAATATCAAAAAAAAGTTAAAATAAAAATAAAAAAAATGTTTTCTCGTTTTCATCCTGGGTAATTTCAAAGAGCTTTTTTTTAAAAAAAAAATTATTTTTTTTTAAAAGTTTTTGCAGCAAATAGTTTCTCTTTTGAAAGAGGTTTTTTCCCTATTTTAGTATTACTTACTTGGTATTTGATGTCTCCTGACAATCGTTCAAAACTTTTTATTTGCTTTCTTTTTACAAAGCAATGTGCTTCTTTAATTTCCCTGCAAATCTCCAACTCTGCACATGAGGTAAATAGTTTTCCTTCAGCTGACAACAATGTTTTAAGCATTGTAGAAACATCTCTCCCCCCAAGTTCTAAGAGTTGTGAGGAATGACCAATTACGTGTCCTTCGTAAACCGGAGCAGAATATGCAACTTGATCTCCAACATCCAAAACAATTCCTTGTAAATTTATGCATAGAAAATATATATATAAATATATAATGCTTATTAAAAAATCGTTTTTGCTCATGAAATGTTGAACATTACGTAACAAGCTTTACTGTTCAATCTGCAACGTATATAGGCAAGATTAAGAGGATAATATTTTTATCAAAGGTTTCAATAATAAGCATTATGATGAAATTATTCAACCTGTGAGAAGACATAAAAAAATAAAGCAAGTTTTAAGTTGAAAATGTTGCTCAACATTTCATGCGCACGAAAAATTCTTTAATCATTTGAAATTCATAAGAAATAAAAAAAATGTTTAATCGTAAAATTTAAAACGTGTAATTGATTTTATCAAAATGATTAGCAAAAGAATATCAAGCCTTATATTCCTGGTTATTAACTTGTACTTTTTATCAACAAAAAAATTGTCTCAAAACAAAAAGTAAACCAGTGTAAACAGGTCTTAAAATAAAAAAAATATATATCAGTCACTGATAAAAATAAAAACTTACAATTTAATCAAGTTTTAAAAATTGTAGACCTATAGAAAACTCTCGTTAATCTCAATTTGTCGAAAATGAGCTTTTGGTTTATTCCTTACCATCAAAGGTGAATTAAGGATATCCGGGGCCGAAGGCACAAATAACTTGGGGGCCATTATGACTAAAGAAAAAGTTCTAGACATGTAGCATTTAATAATTCAGAGTGTATTTAAAAATTAAAGTGATGTTTTCTGGATTTTTGTCTAGCAAGTTCCTCAGCAATGTCATCAAATGAGAGTTGTCTGGTCATCTCACTTTCAATACACATCGAAAAAAGACATCGAGTCGCTCTTGATTAATTTTAGTACAGGTTTTTATTTTTTATACGCTTTACTTGCGAGAAACCTCTTTCTCCATTACAATTAGACTGAGCTGAGTTCTACCGCAACCTAATTGTACTGGAGAAAGAGGTACTAAAGCTACTGCAATATTCTGAAAGGATCATTGAGCAAAATGTGGTACATTAACAACTGTTTGCTTGTTTTTGTATCATTAGAACTCATTTGTAACTGCGTAAGGTCGAAATTGAACAATTTCTTCTCCCAAGCTGACTTCGATGTTATTGGAGTAATGTACTGCTAGAATACCACAGTATTTTATCACTTCTATACAAGTCAATCTTTGTAAATTGTTCACGAATCCAAATCTGCTAGCCAGATCTGAATATGCGGTAGATCTGTAAGCCAATGCTGCTTTTAATTGATCGATAATAACAGTCATCACATTAACTCAAAATTAATCTTTTGCTAGCAGGAGAACTTCTTCAGAAGTACTATCATCTAGCTATTGGTTTCTTTTACTGGCTCTTTTGACTTTTTTTTTATATACTTGACATTTGAACAATTTTTTTTTCATATTTCTCAAATTTTTGAATTCTGACGAACATCTAAACGATTAAACATACTCAAACAATAAATGCAAAAAACCAACAGCTTCATTCAAATCTAAAGTGGCACCTTGTAAAGATGTTTTATTAAATCTTGGCAGTATCGTGTCCCAAAAGACAGTTAAACTATTTTTCAATATTACTATTACGTTTTGCTAGTCCAAGCGCCTCTGTCAAGTTTCACCTTTTGTACGTTCATCAGTTGCAATAGTATCTAAAGCAGATTAAACATTCTTGTAACCCTTCCGCAAAGCGCTTGTTGCATCAGCATGTGCTGACCAACGTGTTTCTGATAGCTTTTACGCAATTGTGTCTTGTCTTAGGCTAGCGCTTTTATCACAACTGTCCATCGATGAGTGGAGGCACTAAAGAATATGTGGATCCGTTCCACAATATCAAAAAAAAAAAACTGCTACTCTACAACAACCAACAGCATTTTTGCCAACAAAATTTAATGATTTACCAAAGCAAGGTGTTCAAATCGCATATTCACAAACATATAAACATTTCAAAATCATTGCCAATGTCAGTATTATTTTCATTTAAGAACTCAAGTAATACATTTGTTAATCCAAGTCAAACTGATCGACGTGCGATATGTCAGGTGTTGAATCAATTGACATACTATATTACTTTGCTTTTTGTATTTCATCAACAATAAACAAAATTACTTTTTGACCCTTTAAATTAATGAGTTCATTACAGACTTGATAAGATAATAAGTATGTAGTTTTGCCGCGACCTGGGCTGTTATGCTTATCAATAAGTGCACCCAAAAAGGATTATAAAGACCTAATAGCTTGCCCATAAAATAACCATTGTGTAGTAAACCAAATTTCTCTTCATGTCCATGAAGCGGTAAACCACACTCAGCTAAAAACTTTAATACGTTCACCGTCCACCGAAAAACAGATAACCAATACTTAGATTCATTTAAGATTGCTTTTTACTATTACTTATTAATACAACCATTCACACCGCGTTTCTGTACAAATGCTAAACAAACGATTTATGGCTTTAACTATTTTCATGCATCACATTGTCCATTTTTCCAATGATTAAACCCTTGACTAAAAGAAGATTTTTGATATCCAATGATAAAAACCATAAACATTTGATGGTGAGTAGTAAAGCCAAAATTAAATATACCAGTTAATTTATAATATAAGAGTGAAAGAGTACAATACCGGTTTTGATTTATACTACCTTCCAAGAGTTTCAATCGCAAAAATCGTTTATCTTTTTATTGACATTCAATACAATCGGTGCTGATAAAATTAGATTGCATATTGAGTCAAATGATGACTCAACTCATGGCTTGTCAGAGTTTTGTAAATGTTTTGTATATTGAAAAATACATATATTATTACGGAAACTGTTCTTGCTGTCTTGTTCTTTCTTTCCAATGGCACATGATTTTAAATACTCCAAGTCAAAAATCGTGCTTTTTAAAAAAAAGTGTTTACAAAATTTAGGGGCCAGAGTGATTAATTGTCAATTGATCACTCTGACCCCTGACAATTGACAATTGAGGGCAAATGACAGTTTGAGGCCTCCATTGTCTCAGCTATAATCCGCCCCTGCTCACCATAGTATAAAACTGAGACAAATCCTATTGAAATTATGATTAAACAGTTTTTAAAAAATCCGCATTTTTCCGCAAGCCACACAAATTAAATTGCGCATCCTGTAAAATAAATAAATTTGGATAAACGAGGTTTGATGGTCAGCGAAATATTGAATTTAGATTTAGAAATCTACCACCTACCCACATGTTGTGATTCTTCGCCCCCTCCTTCTCCTGTTTATTAGATCTGGATTAAAATTCCCAACTCCTTTTTTATTCCCACTCCCCTTGCAATGACCACGCGAGAGTAAGATGACATTTTGAAGAAGCACTTACATAACTACAGGAAGAGTAAAAAAATTCACCAGACAAATTTAGAAGGAAAAATAAAAAGACGTGGCAATCTTGTCACTTTTTAAACTACTGTAAACTATTTATTTGAAGCAACATCCAAGCTAATCAATAACAAAGTTTCAAAAAATTAAATGATGCAGTATTCAGATTGACGCCACTCAATGTATACGCAACGGATAAGTGTTTAAGATCAATGTGCATTTATAGTGTATATGTAAATAGTTGCATATATGAGAGAGATTTTCAAACATGATCTATCATCAACGGGTTTTTACAACATTATAAAAGAAATACTATTAAAGAATAGTTTGGATGTAAGTAAGTGGAGATTCAACTGATGGTGCTGGCAAAGTAGTTAATCTTAAATAACTATTCGAATTTACTTATAAAAAAATTTGTTTTGAATTTAAAAAATAAATTATTATAATTTGAAAATTGAATACAATATTGATTTCAATATATTATCAATTGTAAATGAGTTTTTTTATGTTTTCACTAAAATAAACTGAAGTTCCATTTTTGAGATAAAAGGCCAGGTGAATAAAAACAAGCAATTGCTTTTCTCAGTAATTGCTCAGCTTTATGTAAATAAAATTTTGACAAATTTTCGTCAAATTTTTATTTAAATAAAGCTGAACTTGACGTTTTTGGAGTAAATTGCTATAAAAGTACCTACGCTTTTAACCTAGCAACCTAAAATTTTATGATATATATATATATATATATATATATATATATATATATATATATATATATATATATATATATATATATATATATATATATTTTAATTAAGAATCTTCATACTTTTATAATTGACCTATGCCCCCTTATCTCAGAAACGACATTTGAAGACCCCCTCTTTCTCTCCAAGCGTACGTACTTTATGGACGATCCTTTAGTAGTATTTAAATCTATTCTATAAAATGGTCGGCAAAATGAAATAAATAAATTTCCAATATTTATATAAGGAAACAGCTATATAATTTTATTTATTTTTTAAGTATTTATTAAAAAACAAACAAGAATATATGAATACTTGAGAAATAGCGCATAAATAAACAACCGAAAACAAAATTAATACGATAATACAAGAGCTAAAGTGTGCTAAATCTTCTACTAATTGAATTTTATTATCTATTGAAGAAAAATTGTGGGTGTTGCCTCAGTTAAAATTATTTACCCAAAAAGCTTAAAGAAAAAATATATTTTCTTAAATAATCTATTAAAAATCCCTTTTTCATATAAAAATGTTTTTTGTTTTTTTTAATTTTATCTGAGTATCGTTTTAATTTTATTTTAACTTTTAAGGTCTCTCAAGATCTTATTGACTTAAATTTTTAATAAAAATTGTAAATGAAAAATTTTTTTTGGTAGTTGTTGCATAACTACTTGTTGCATAACTATTGCATAAATAATTTACTAGGATTATCATCAAATTTAATATAGCAGAATAAATTCCATTTTGCAATTGTGATTGGTTACCCCTTCTCAGTTTCGGCACCATAATGAACTCTATTTATTAATTTTAATCTCACGTGAAAACTTATTGTCAAATTGCGAATAAAAAATGAAAAGTCTTCTACTTGCTCCTGTCATTGCTTTAATTTTATCTTGTTATTTATAAACGTATACACATATAAATATATTTATATTTATTTATATAAATGTATTAAAGTTTTATATGTGTCAAATGTTTATGTAATGATAAAATAAATTATTAGAAAATACACACATCAGTTCATCAAAGTCAAAAATAAACTTTTAAAATAAAAATAACTTAATCTTATGTAAATTTACCAAAGAATTTTCTTTTTCAATCTTATCTAAAAGACCCTTATGTTTTGCTTTAATTCTTTTTTTGTCGGTTTTTCAATTCTACAAAATTCTTTCACAACATTTTTATAAAGAACTAACATGTTATAAAAAAGATTTTTCTCCAGAAAACAATGGTAACTAGCATATTGCTATTGTTCATATATTTTTATTGTTCATATATTTCTAGTCAACTTTAACTTCATTTAACATCAACTTTAGGACAATATTAATAGAAATGGAATGTAATATGAAATGTAATGCATAAAGAAGCAGAAAAAACCGTCAAAGAAGTAAAAAAATATTTTATAAGTATAGAAGTACCCACAATCTTAAATTACTAAAATAGTTTAGAATATTTTTTTATTATTGTAATTTATTAAGTCATCATTATTATTGAAGTTTTTCACTTCGAAAGTTTTGAACGTGAAAAAAGACAAGACTAAATTTGACTACGTTTAAAACACTTTATTGATAGCAGCAGAGCCATTAACAACCAATTAACAGAGAATTAATAACCTATTGGCAGTTAGAACCAAAATTAGGACTGGAATTACACTTGGTTTTAACCATTCGGTCTAGATGCAATAAGCAATAGGGTGTCATAATGTCATTAATAATTTTACGTAATTGGATGTACTAAGCAAATATCTTTTAGTTACCTGAGATTCTTCCGCAACCATACAAACACATTACAGCTTGTGGCGCTATATAAAAAGCTGGCGATTGGTATTTTTCCAACATTAATTCCATAATACATTCTTGTTGTTTTTTGGATATGGTTGGTGCATTACAAATAAAGATGGGGTGTTCTTCCGGAAAAATACCGCCGACTTTAAATGCATACTCCCAAACCTTAATACATAAACATAACAAAAATTTATACTATAATTAAAACATTTTTTGTTTGTTTAATTTTTTTACTTTTATTTTTAAATTTTGCGGTAGTTACCTTTTCCATATCAATCCAGTCTTTAATTACTCCTCTCTCTATAGGATGCGACAATTTTAATATTCCTCTATGTAATTGAGCATCGTTTCCAATCCATTCTGATTTTAAATCACCAGGTAAAACTTTCTAAAAACAAATAAAATATCTAAAAAATTAAGTCAAAAAATTATGCTATTTTAAGTATTTCCAAAAACCAATTTTTGAGTGGTTACGTCAAATTTGATTTCAGGTAAATTTATTCCTAAAAAAATAATGTAAATTTTAAGTTTTTGATTTGCACCGTATAATTAGATCTTCCAACAAGTGACGGAATAACTAATGGAGAGTCAAAACTTGAAAGACCGCATTTAACTGATCCTGATCCGTTGTCTATTATCACACAAGTTGAAAACTTTTTTAAAGAATCAGACGGAGTGATTTGAGAAAAAACTTTTGATAAACTGTTGTTATTATCTTCGGGTTTTTTTTTACTTGTTTTTAATATCTTTTCATTGCTTTCTTTATAAGAATCTTTATTTACTTCTTTTTTGTCTTCCAATGTATCATGTAACGTTTTTTCTAATGCCTTAAATCCATTTCTATTTAAAATTGTTTCCGAAAGAGTAGGTTTTTGATTGTCTATAATTTTGAGTTGACTTTCATGACTTTTTTTGAATTCATTTTTTAAACTTTCTGATTGAACAAGCTTAGCATCCAAAGATAAACTTTCATCATCTTTTATACTCTTAAATTTAAAACTGGATGAAAAATCGTTGTAAAATTGTTTTTTTACAAAGTTAATTTGTTTATTGAGCTCATTGACTTCAGTTTCTTCTGTAAACAATAGGCTAAACTCAATAGCTTCCTCATCTTTTGCTAAAACATTCATGGACAATTCATTTGTCTGAAAGTTGTTTGTCGAGAAGCTACCCGTTGGCGAATCATTTGACGTCAAAGGAACTTCAAAAAAGTTTTTTTGATAACTGTTTATGTTTGGAAAACAGCTGCTTGTAAAAAACAAATCTTCTGATTGCATAGATTTTGGTGCAGGTGAAGTTATTTTTTTTTCAACGTCATAATCTAGATTATCATAAGAGTTTAAATAATCGCTGTTTGCTATTATTATTGATTTTTTAGTCATTGAATTTTGCGCTGGATAATTTTTTTCAAACTCACTTGTTTTGTGATTAACAAAGTTGCTTGATAAATTTTCATTAAAAGTTTCTTTTAATAAACCAATGCTGCTGTTTGTTTTTGAAAAAGTTTTAATCGGTTCAATATCTATTGTCTTCAATAAATCTTGATATATCAATAAATCTTTACATTTTGATTTATCTTTAACGCCATTAAAGTCACGATTAAAGTCATCACAATCCTCTTCACTATTTAATAAAACAAATTTTTTTTGTGAAGATGACGTTTCTTGATCAATTTCAGAAAAGATCTTTTTTTCAGGTTTGGATGCAATAATAAAATCAGGTAAAATAAGCTTTTCGTGAAGATTGTTTTTCACAATGAGAACAATTTTTTTTACATCGCCATGACAACTTTCTATCTCACCACTAGTGACTTTAGAGTCTAAAAAGCTACATGCGTCAGCTGCTTTAAAGTGTATATTCTTTTGCAATGCTACACCAATGGTGTCTGACACATCGGAAGCATTTAAACTACCATTATCTTTACTTAATAATCTTGACTTTTTGGTTTCGATTCGATTATCTTGACTTGATGGAACAAATAGATCAAACTTGTTGCTTTTTGCTTCATTTTTTAGAATCGGATCAAAAACTTCGTTTCTTAGAAATTTTTCAACTTCAAAAACTTGGTTTTCTTCCATAACATTTAGTTGAGATTTATTTTCATTTTCTGTAATGTATTGACATGTAGTAGATAATTCAATTCCCACCATTTTATCGACACTATGAAATAAATTTATATATTTATAAAGTTTAAAACAAAATTTTATCCAGTTAAAAAAATTAGAGTTAAAAAAATTGTACCAGCTAAAGAAGTTATAGCCTAACACGTTTGAAACCCGTTTTAAAAACAAATTTGTTTAAAACGCGTTTTTTTAAAAACGAACACGTTTGAAACGAGTTAATTTTAAACTTTTATAATCGGCAAATTAAATTAATTTAGTTTAAAATGCGTTTTCTAGAAAATAAAAACGTTTTAAACGAGTTTATTTTGAAATCTTTATAACCTGCAAATCATATTTTTATAACCTGCAAATCAAATTTTTATTTTTGCAAAACTCGTTTAAAACTAATTAAAAGACATTTTTAACAACAACAAAAAATAGCTGATGGTTTTGGCTTAAAAATGACCTTTCAGTTTACCTTGTTGTTGTTGATTTTGCTGTTGTTGTTGCTGTTGTTGTTGTTATTGTTGCATTTTTATTTGTAACATGCGATTCAAAAATATTGTTAATAAAACATGTCGATTCTTGTTCTGAAGAATTAAAAAAAGAATTATTGGGTACATTATCAAATACTTGTTTCAAAGAGTTTACAATTACGTTTTTCACAAAATCTTGTACATACTCAGTGTTTGTGTTTTCTGAAAAGTAACTATGGGTTGTAAGGTCCGATGTCTCTTTTTTCTTCGAATTTAAATTCGAATTTTTTAACTCATCATTTAAAACGTCGCTTTCATCATTAAAGGTCTTGCAAGTATCCTCCAAATAATCATCCTTAAAAATCTGCCATGGCTTATTTAAAGATTCCTGATTAAATGTTTGCCAAGACTTTTCAAACGGTACAATTTTAGGAGAACCCTTTGAATCTTCCATAAAATTGTCAAATTTTGACATCCATTTTGCTCCAAAATTAAAGTTTTTGTTCGACAATACTTCATTAGTAGTAGTTTTCAAATTTTTTAAAGAGTTTTTAGTAGTGGTTTCCAGATCTCTTAGTCTGGATGACTGATTTGACTGCTTTTCTGGCACAAAAGCATTGTTGCAGTTTGAAAAACTATTTTGTTTACTTAAATTTGCTTTTTTTAAACTTGTTTCTTTATGGTGAATTAATTCTGGCATAGTATGATGTAGATTTTCTTTTTTAATATCATTAAAAGCACATGTTTTATTATCAGTATTTTCAAAGTTTTCAAGAAAACTTGTTAGTGCATGTTCTTGTAATCTTTCATTTAAACATTTTTTCGGAATTATATTATTTGACACGTTATCATCGTTAACTAGGTTATTTGACACTGTGTATTTGGTATTTTCTATGCTAGCATAAGTGTCGGTGTACGCAATCAAACTTGAACTTGTTTTATAAGAAAAAATTCCTAAACCCGATTCTATTTCTTTTGACCACTCTTTAAGCGTTGATGATTTAACACTTGATTCTATAGAATCAAATATTATTGAACAAAAATCTGTGTTTTGTGCATCTTCTTTGCACGATTCACTATTTAGTGGATCAACACTTTTTTTGTATGATTCACTATTTAATGTAGTGTTGTCATCTTCTTTGCACGTTTCACTATTTAGTGGATCAACACTTTTTTTGTATGGTTCACTATTTAATGTAGTGTTGTCAATAACACGTGGATGCGTTACCCTTAACAAGGAATCTGGAATTACAGTGTTATTGTCGTATCTAAATTTAGAAGCTTGAAACGAAGATGAAAAGGTTTCTTCACTGCTGACTTTATTTTTAATTTTTTTTTTCCACTTGGTTGCCGCTTTTTTGGCAATTCGAAGTTTTTTAAGAATATTTGACACTTTATTCTTAAAAATATCTTGTTTAACTGCATTATATTTATCGCGATTAGAAAATGTTTCTGTTATTTCGTTTTCGATTTGAAATAAGTTTTTGTCTTGTTCAATACTTTGTTTTTTATTGATAAGTTCAAACTGAGTAAAAGTACTTTTCTTTTCGTTTTCTTCTTTACATTCAAAAATTTTTACTTTTTCTTCCCTTAATTTAAAGTTATTAATTTTTAAATTATCGTCGCATTCTTCTTTTTTATTGTTTAGACTTTTCTTCAAAATGCTGTTGCTCTTTTCTTCTTTTTTGTTTTGACTCTTATTTAAATTGTTGTTACTTTCTTCTTTATTTTCATTTTGATTAAAATTGGTTTTTGTTTTTTCTTCGCATAATTCTTTGCACGATTCGTAGTTCTTCACACTTTGCAATTCTATGGATAATTCCTCGCCTGATATGTCAGGAAAACTAGATTGAGTTTTAAACTCGCGTTTAGGTTGTTGTTGCTTTTTATCTAAAAATATTTCGCAATCCTTTGGTGTTGATGATTCTAACAAACCATTATTAGTGGTCTCTGATGAAGCGCATTTTATTTCCTCAACCTCTTTTTTTTCAATATAAACACCAGATAGATTTTGAGGGGATTTCGGAAACCAATCTTCCTTATATATTTCAACATTTTCATTTCTTAAGTTTATTGTATCCTCTTTATTATCTAGGCAGTTTTTTTTGCAGAAAAAGACGGACGAAGCGGCTGACAAAACAATGGATGAAACAAAAGATGAAACAAAAGTTGAAATTAAAGGTGAAATTTCTTCCGAATTAATGCCTAAATTGTGTGTTTTTTCCTGTTTTTTCTCAATATCTTCAATAGAAAAACTTTTTGTTTTAATACCTTTTTTGTTTGTTATTGTTTCATTGTTATTTAAAAAAATAGAACTTTCTTCTTTACAATTTACATCTTTTTCTTTTTCTTCTTTTTCTTTGGATAATATATTTTTGTTATTTGAATGATATATTGTAGTTTTGTCACTATTAGTATTATTTTCGGTTTCATTAATTACACTATCGATAATTATGTTATTATTAAAATTTTGATCATCTTCCTTACTTTGAAGAAATAAATTAATATTATTGGGGCTCGGAACAGAGTTGCATAAGACTATAAAAGATTTCAATGGTAATTTTAAGGTAACACGATCTGTTTTTGAATAAGTTTCAGTGGAATCATAAGTATAAACATTAAAATCCGCCTCTTTTTGTAATGATTCCAATTTTTCTCGAAGGTTATCAATTTGAAGAACTCTTTGCCGAAAAGATTCTTCTTCGTATGATAGATTTTTGATTTCAGTATTTTTATCGTTTACTAAAAATTCTGAAAGAATGTTTTGATTGTTAAATGGTTTTTTATTACTCAATATATCCGAATCTTGCTTGCATTGAAGTTGGCTATTAAAGCTACTTGCAATCGACTCTCTTATCAATGCAGGTTTCTTTTTAATATTTTTTTTAAAGCAGTTTTGGTGATTAATAATAAAACTTGTATTATTAAGGTTGTCACTTTCTTTTTTTAAATAAGTTGAAGAGTTTGCATTGCTAAAAGAAGTTTCTTCGTTTTTAAGACTTTGAGTTAAATAGGTTGTCTTATGGGGACTGTAATTAGTTTTAAAACTTGAAACACATGACGTATCATATTCGTTGGAGTTACATTGTGATTGTTGAAATCTACTATGGTTATCAAATCCACTATGGTTATCAGAGTATTCATCAATTGACATTCCTGTTTTTATTACTAAATCAACATCTTCATCTTTTAACAATGTATCATTTTTTTCAGGTGATTGTTTATGTTTTTCTTTTCCAAAAAACTTTGGAACAACATCATACTTTTGCCTAGCGTGTAACTTAATACAATCTTTTATATTATCAACTTCATTGTTTTTCTTTTCGTTCAAAGTTTCATTTATCGGACTAAGTAATTTTCTGTCATTACACAAATCATTTTGATTGCTGCACTCTGTAATCCGAAAGTTTTTTTGAATTTTCTTGGAAGGTGGTTTCACTTTTGTTGCAATATCATTCTTTAAATGCTTTAACAAAAAAGATATCTAAAAAAAATATCTCAAATCAATACTCAATCATATAATTAGTTAACTAATGTTATTTAAAAATAAAGACATTTTCTATAGGTATGGACGGTTACACTCAAGTACGGGTAAAACAGTTTTGTTTTTTATTCAAATTTAAACCACATACTGTAGTTATCAATGAGGATGTGAAATGTGATATTACTAAATCCGTATTTATTAAAACACACTAAAAATACTTAAAATACAAATAATTTTGGGTCAGTCGAACACCGATTAACTCACACGCTAAAAATACTATAAAATATTAAACTAGATTCAGTTTAAAGAAGTATATACCACTCTTCATTTTCAAACATACAATGAGATATTACAAATTTTTAACATTTAAAGACATATTACTCTTTTTTAACTTCTTGCTTAACCCGTACACCAGTTCACCAGCACAGACATTAAATAAAATACTTTAAATAAATAATCTTACGTTAACAGATGCAGAAGAAGTTTTCAGAGAACTAATGGTTTTGTCATCATTTTGCAGAAAAAATTCACGTTTTTGTTGGGTATTGTCATTATTTAGGAGATCTTTCGACAAATGGCGAGAAATTAGCAAAATGTTTGACATGGTTTTTGAATAAATATTATTATCTGATGATGAACTCTGATTAGTTATTAGAATATTCTTCATAATCGCATATGCTTTCAAATTTCGACGTTTTAATTCTGATGCTAATAATGATTCGCATTTCTGAAAAAGGCGCAGCGAATGTAAAATGTCCAAATAACATTTTGTAATAACAGCATGTGGAAAAAACGAATATTCTATCGTAGGCGGTAAAGATGAGAATTCAAGTAAATATTGTTTGAGAACTTTTTTTTTTGATTTCAAATTAAATTTGAAGTAAGTAATTTTTTCCAACAGCATTTTCACGTTCATAAAATGAATTTTTGATAAAATAGACGACGTGCAATAGACTTTTAATTTCTCAGCAATTTTTTTAGCGCTACATATAATCTTTACGTCACACGCGGAAAACCTCTTTTTCTTCTCGCTTTCAGGTGTATGGTTACTTGGTAAGGGCAGTTTATTCCTTGACTTAACGTAAAGTTCTAGAGCGTTTAAATAAATTTTTTGGACTTTTTGACGAACCTTTAAAGTAATCGGTTCTTGCAAAATAATTCGACATCGCTTTATCACATTTTTGTAAAAATTTGCCTCGTTTTTTAGCATAAACATTTTTGGTGAATCAAAAGAATTGAACATATTATTTTTTAAATATTTATTTCTATCAATACAACTACTTTTTTTCATAATACTGTTTATACTACTTTCTTTGTTTGTTTTTTGTTTTCTCATTAATTCTAGATGTTTGGTCTGTAGTTTATTTTCAAATATTTGTTTAGTCCGTATATTGTCATGAAACATATAAGGTATTTTATAATTGGCCATTGTTTTTCTATCTAAAACCAAAGAACCATGACTATTATGATTCTGTTGTTGCATCACATTGAAGTCTTTTTTACTGTGACTCTTTTTTTTATCCTCACTTTGACAACTTGAAAAAAACAAATCATCCTCACTAATAACCTGATTTTCGGATCGATTCATCAGACTTACATTGTTATAAAGAGAACTTTTCTTGTTTTCATAACAATTTGGCTCAGCAGAATAAGATAACGTTACGTCGACAAGGTAAAGAATTCGATCAGCTTCTATTATAGCCTTGGAACTCATTATAGTTTAAATCTTTGTCAACAATAACATGTCAATTAATGATTTAATGATCACAATTGGGTCTAAAAAACAACTAAATAATCAACATTAAAAAATAAATATTAAAAACTAAAGCAATGATTCTGAAACACTTTGTGCACGTTTATTATAAAACTTTTATAACGATTAAATATTTTATATAGGAATGCTGTAAAATTTCCCATAGGAATGCTGTAAAATTTCTAATTCTCTGTTATTTACGAACAATAAATAGATAACAAACATAAATAAGCATATATTATTGAAATAGTAAAAAAATAAATAATAATTATCCAGCTTTACTCTTTATAAAAAAAAAAGTTTTACGATGATTTTCCATATTTACGTTTTTATATCTTCTCATAAAAAATTTAAAGCGTAACTTAATAGAATTTTTCTCTGTGTTTTTGCATTATTATTGTACGCAATAAAAACTCGATTTTACTCCACACAATTTTAAACTCTCTGTTTCCTTTCTATTTCTTTTTAGATTCTATAAATGTAAATTATAATTTTATAGTGTTTACAAGTTTTCAAAAACTCAAATAACGTTTAAAAAATAAAAAAAACTTATTTTTTGATTTTTGAATTTTTTTTTTTTTTTTTTTTTTTGTTATTATGATTGCTATACTTTACCTGCGTAAACTTAAAAAAGAAACCCTAAAACCTTAGAAAGTCTTTAAAAAACTTAAGATTTTAATCATCGAGAAAAAATAACTTAAAAATTTAATCATCGAGAAAAAATAACTTCTGCCCTTTACTTTTTACGATGAAATTAATAAAACGAAATACAATGAAATTAATAAAACGAAATAAATGTTACTTTGATATTGCGACAAATAAAAGTATGTATTTAAAAAAGTATATCGAAATTTCATATTATATTTAAAATTAAATAAACTCATTATAACGCGAATACATTTGATGTTATTATATGACATACCTATATATTTTGTATAAACTTTAATTTTAAACGTTAGTTATATATATTATAAACTTTTAGATTGACTGACAAATCCTCAAATAACTGTAATCATTTTGAAACAGTATCCTATTATATGATACTGTTTCGAAATAACAATTATTCGATGAGCTGTCAGTCAATCTAAAAGTTTGTAATCTATGACAACTACCGCCAAGTATATGACGTATACTTGGCGGTAGTTGTCGTAGACCGAGATTTAGTGATTAAGTCGCAAAATGACACTTTATTCTGACATTATTGATTTTAAATGCTCTTTTTTTAACGTGAAGCCTAGGAGAAATCTCCCACATACCTCTCTGTGTAACCCTGAACTAAACTGTAAAATTTCACTCTAACAGCAGCGATTAAATTTAACGAGATAAATAAATAGTTCCATCGGCAAGATTTTGTCATGCTTCAGTTATAACACTTTCATACATTGTGCGAACGTCAAACTGTATTCATACTTATATCAAATTAGAATGGTTTGAAAAATGTTCGCGACAATTAGAGCCTGGGAACAAAAATGACCCATAATATGAGAGCAATCAGATGTTAAATTTTTTTAGCAGTAATATACTAAAACTTAAGTTTCATTGAATGATTTTAAATTTCATCAATAATTTTTGAACGTTCAAAGTTATGAACATGTAAAATTTACACCTTCCTTATTTTGGGGAGGGTGAAAACGTCACATGTTCATAACTTTACATGTTCATAACTTTGAAACGTCACATGTTGAAATTTTTAAAACGTCACATGTTCATAACTTTTGAACTTTAAAAGATTATTATACGAAAATAAAACTTGTCGATAAAATTAAATGTACTAAAAATTAGTAAAAAAAAAAAAAAAAATTCATTTGATATAAGCCTAATTTATGCTAATGTCAATTTTTTTTTATTTTATGTTAATTCACCTTTGCTCCCTAAGCTAAATCCCTACCACCTCCCCAATGCCGAGAAGGATTCTACAGACGAGGAGGCTACTTAATTGTGGTTATAACCATCTCTCAACTCTATTACTTCGAAACATGAACATTAACGAACAAGGCCGCCGCATGGAGAAACAAGTTGAGCGCGGTATTACCAGGAAGCGTGGTGGGGATCGATCTTGGAACTACACAACAATCGCATTTCATAAGGGTTGATTAACTACCGCATTTCATATGGGTTGATATAGATTTTTTTTAATAATATTAATATTTTTCAAAAAAATGGAGTTTGCACAATGTCTGAAAGTGTCATATCTGTAACATCAAAAAATTCTGGCTACGCTACTGCAAAATTAAGTGACTATTCTTTGAACCATTTTAATTGAAAAAATTAACGATAGGACATCAAATATAGTTATAATTTAAAAGATGATGTGTTTACTGTAATAAAGTATGATATAAGTCCATATTAAAACTGAGTTAGCAAACAAAACTAAACAATAGGAAAAAAAAGCATTAATTTAACTAAAAGAAATTTTTATTTTCAACAATCACAAATTTAAAATTTTAAAAAAATAAACGAGACAAACAAAAAATAATTTTATAATAAATAGATATATTCTCCGCTTAGTAAAAAAATCTCTTTTTTTGATAAATTGATATTGTAACACTAATTTCATCTTTTCTGGCAATTAAAATGTTTCAACATTTCGTATTTTAAGTTAATCTTTTAAAGCAACTTGCTGAATCCCATATAACACTTCATTTACACCGCTGCTATTCTGGGATAAATCTGATGCAAGATTTATAAAGGGTCTTTCTGTAGCTAAAGTCTCTTGATTATTATTAAGTTGATTGTCAGAAGTATTTGTTAAAAGTTCCTTTTTGTTTATAACATTTTTTGAATCAGGTTTGTTTTCAATCTCTTTCGGGAGCTTTATTCCTGCTACTCCTTTAAGATCAGTACTGTCGGAATCTCGCTTAACTTTGCGCAATCGAGCTAAGTTATCTTTGCGATATTGAACCATTCGTTCAAAGTCTACAACATAAAGAAAACCAGCTATCAGTATCTCACAATTTTTTTTGCTGTTAGAAAATGCTTTCTCTAGAATTAATGATGCACGCTCATCATATTGCCACCAACCATTGCGCCCTTCATAAAACCAATTATATGTAATTGATGGTGTTGATAAATTTACACTAACTTTATTAGATGTACTCGAGCTAACATCCTCTTTTTCTCGAACTTTAATCTATAAATAAACACAAAAAAGTGAAATTTCTAAGTGCAAAATAGTTAAGGCTAAAAAATTAATTAAAAAAATCGAAAGAAATTTATGAAACACATAATTTAATAAAAGTTGTAGGAGGCATTAATGTAAAAAAAAAAAAAAAAAACATAAAAAACTCACAATAATAGGGTTGTTGAAGTATTCTAATTCGATTACACTTCGACACAAAGCACACCTTTTGCTCCTGTAGGCAAAGCCTTTAAGGCACAAAAAGCAGAAGATATGTTTACAAGGTAGTTGAACTGGTTGCAGACATTGTTGTAAACAAACTGCACAATCAGGATTGCTATCTACCCAACAATATGTCATTCTAACTGAAATATGAAACATTTGTATATTGACATTAGTAACTATTTAGTCAACAAAAAAAAAAATCAAAAAAATTAGATGTAATTGAAATAAGATGTAATTGATGTAATTAGATGTATTGATGTAATAAGATGTAATTAGATGTATTGGGAGTCAAGAATCAACTAATAAATAAAAATGTTAGCAAACATTTTTTTTTAATAAAAGCATAGTTTATCTGTGTTTAGTATTTACTGTTTCAAAAACGTTTTTATTTAAAGCATAAACTTTTTTTATTCAAAAATTAAAATAGCTAACTACTTTAAAATTATTTTTTAAATTCAAAAATAAAATTTTTATAAATTTTTTAAAATCATTTTATGATCAATTTATGGCCATTATTTCATGGTTTTAATTATTTGATAAAACTAATCTTCATATTTATTAATGATAAAGGGTGAAATTTTGTATGCAAAAAGTGAATATTTTTATTTTACCAAAAAACTGTAACTATCACAGGTAAATTACTGAAAGATATTTATTTTTAGTTTCTAGAAATTCAAAAATATTTTTAACTTTAAAATGTAATATTATTCAGAATTATTCATAGTTATTATTATTTTATTGCTTTTTATCTTCATTTTAAAAGATAAATTAAAAACAACTATAAATCATATAAAAAGAGTATAATAAATAATAAAAAACCAAGTTAGCAATAATAATAAAATGAACTAAGTTAGCAATAATAATAAAATGAACTAAGTTAGCAATAATAATAAAATAAACCAAGTTAGCAATAGATATTCAGAATTTAAATTTTTGTTTGAAGGTAAAAATTATAAAGCCATTGATAAAAAATTTTATAAATATGTAACTAAAAAAGATGACATCAGAAAAAAAGACAAAAAAAGATAACATCAGAAACATTAAACAGTTATCCAAAAAGAGGTCCTAACCTCTTCAAAAATAACCCAAAAAATCCCTTAGAGGGGGTGATTCTATAGGTAATGATGATTTGAAAATTTTTTTTAATGATGATTGAAAGATTTTAATTTTTGTTTTAAACAATTTAAAACAAAAAAATCTTTTAATTACGTCATCAGGAGAAAATTGCATTTAAAGTTTTTGTCTAATTTACACTAAGAAACTTGATTTTTAAAATGTATTTCTACTGCTAAAAGTCCCTAAAAAAACCTTTTGTTTTGTCTTAAAAGTTGCAAATATCTCTAGACAACATTGTATTAACCTATTGTTTAACTTTTTTTTCCTTCTTTAATAAAAATTCGAATTTAAAGGCAATAAAATTTAAATATGATAGAGCTAAATTTTTCTGCTGAAATAATGTAAACAAATAAATTGGCATTTCTGTTAAAAATTAATTAGTCTTTGTCAAAATATGCCTAATTCAGCAAAAACTCATGGCGATTGCAGAAAATTTGTTTGCTTTTTGAGTTGAAGAAAAGCGATTAACTGATTATTTTGATTGAAAGAGTTAAGAATATTTTAAAGTGTAATATTGATTTCAATGATGAGGAAATTCCTGAGAATACTGGCATTTGTAATTCATGTAGAAGCAAACTACAATGACTTGATACTGTTAGTATTATTAACCAGATACTAGACTTATACAATTTCAATTCGATTATTATTAGGCCATCTACAAGATATTCAGGATTTTGCCAGTGTATAATTTGTAGAGTGGCCAAATCAAAGCTCAAAGAAAATCTGCCACAGATTAATATTGATATATTGAATCAAAAAACAAAAGTCTACCCTGAAACTGACCATATCAAAGCTTTCAGCCCCAGACCTTCATCATCACAGCCAGCTGAAAAAAGATGCAGTATTTGTTTGTCAATAGATTTTAAAAGAACATGCTTACTTTTGTACTATAGGTACAAGGCAGAAAAATGTACAGAAACTTGCCGTAAAGGACCATAAGAATGCTAAACAAATAGCAACTGAATCAAGCAACAACAAATAGACAAAGTAGTAAATAGAAAAAAGCAGCAACAAATAAACTCTAAAAAAGATGTCTTTTTTTTTTTTTTTTTAATTTTATTCACCGCCCCAAGGCCGAGTAAACCACTACAGATGAGGAGGCTATTTGTGGTTATAACCCTCTCTCAACTCTATAACTCCGAAACTCAAACCTTGACGAACAAGGCCGCTACGCAGAGAAACAAGTTGAGATACTGTCATCAGGAGGTACTGTCAAACTTAGTCAAGCAAGTGGAGGTAAATCTTTAAAAGTTCTGCAAGGACATTCAGCAAAGTACAAGTAGCAACTATTTACTGTTGAAACATTGGTCCAAGTTTAAAACAGTACCAATCTTTCCAATGTTGGTGTGAAAAGGTTTGTATCAGCTCTAAACAACGCAGTGGAAAATAGAGATGTAGAGGCAAACATGAAGCAAAAAAATAATAACCTCTGGAAAAAATTAGCAGATTTTTTCATGATGTCAAATATTGTCATTCTGGACAAAGAAATGAAAAACCAAGTTGTGGTAGTCACACTCTTACTCTAGTAAGTCTCACTCTAGCAAACACCCATGTTGCTGGTGTGATGTTCAGTCTGACAACCTCACAAACTTTGGCTAATCAAGAACATTCAGTTCTTTATGCAACAGCTATGCTGGATTCCTCTCTTCAGGCACAAAACTTTAATTGGCTAAGAATTATTCTAATGTTGTCCATCCTCCAATAATTAACCCCTACAGACAATCTGAGCTTACTCTTGATGTAACTTCTACAATGGAACTCCATCTTTTTTCTTGGAATTTTCAACCCTATTTTCGAGCAACTTCTTGAAATATGAGACCAAGCACAAGAATGGCCGAATCTCTTGCACCTTCAATTGCAAGCATATCATGGGGGACAGTTCAATGAGATGAATGCAACAAACTGTTGAAAAATGTTGACATTCTTCAGAGTCTTGCCCAAAAACATTGTGGATTGCAAGCAATGCCTTATGTTGATTGCTTCAGAAAGCTTCAATCTGTTAAAAAAGCTTGTTTTGGAAAGACCTTGGCATGATTCTGTCAAGCATTCTTACATAGCTCTTGGAGCTTCAGTTACTCTCAAAGCGCATGCAATTTTTCATCAAATTAAGGAATTTGCTGAAAAAAATGAAACTGGGCTCTGAGTTTTCAGTGAGAAAACCACTGAATTGATGCATGCCAAATTCAAGATCCACTGGCAAAGGTTTAAAATGCAATCTCATCCTGAATATGGGGACAAACTCCTGAGTTGTGTAATTGATCTTTACAGCAGTTGCTTTACAGCAAACACATTTAAAATTAAATTGTTGTGGATTAAAAATCTCTAGAGAAAAATCTCAGTCAGAGTTGTCGTGTAATTATTTTTGTCAGAAGATCTACAGTGTTGATATTAAAAAAATATCTACAGTCTCAAATTTGTATTGATTTAAGCTACTTTGTAATTCAATGTTATATATTCGATTCCCACCACGCCCCTGGTAGTACCGCGCTCAACTTGTTTCTCCGCGCAGAGGCCTTGTTCGTCAAGGTTCGAGTTTCGGAGTTATAGAGTTGAGAGAGGGTTATAACCATAAGTAGCTTCCTCATCTGTAGTGGCCTTCTCGGCCTTGGAGAGGTGAATAACAAAAAAAAAAAATTTATATATATTTAAAAATATATGCCTATCTTTTTGAAAAAAATTATGTTTTAAATAATACCATGCTTAAGAATAAAATTTTAATTTCAATTTCTTTTGATTTTTTATCTTACTAAAATATCAAAGGAAATTTGATATACTATATTGTATATTGATGTACTAGTATTGAAATGTATATAAAAATATTCTTAATTAAAACATAATTTTGAATCTAAGGAATATTAGTTTGTGATATTTGTAAAATTTAAAGCAAAAAAAGTGATTTTTTTGAACTTTTGGCTGTGCAAACACTATGAAAATAAAGGTTTTTGGTGTATTTTAGGTAGAAACTTTAAATACAATTTTCTCATGCAGACGTAATTAAAAGATTTTAATTTTTTCTTTAAACTGATCCCGATTATCTATAGAAGGGATATACTTTATACACCTCTAAGGGATTATTACATACCCCTCCGAGGGATAATTACATACCCCTTTTAGAGATTTTATAGGTCATTCCCGAAGAGGTTAGGACCCTTTTTTGGACAATTGTGCAAATGATGGCACAAAAAAAAAACACAGAATTTAATAACAAAAAAAACTAGTCACAAAAACACCAAGAAAATGTATAAAAAAATCTATAGAAAAAAAAAACCAACAAAAAAGCATTAAAATAACATAAGAAAAAAAAACTAGTAACAGAAACACAAGGAAAATATAAAGAAAACATCTAGCAAATAGAAGCAATTAAATAAAACATCTAGCAACTAGAAACAATTTGACATTTTTTAAATCTTGAAAGTTTTCAGCTTATCATTTGCAATATAAAATCTGCGAACTTGTATATAAAGTGTCATGCACATTTAGCAGCAAGCAAATATGATAAACACTGCTCTTGATACAACTTAGACATGTCTAAGTTGTATCAAGAGCAGTGTTTATCATGTTTACATTAATATGTAAACATGATAAACACTGCTATGAATATGTATATTAGGTTAAAAATAGAACTAATTGTAGAATAAGAGGTACCAAAAATATATTCATTAAGTCATAATAAAATATTTTGTTTAGTAATGTAGTGGGATAGATGCTTAAACGTTATAATATCATTGGTAAAAGAGGTACTAGTCAGATAAACAAGGACAAGAATTGCTACTTCAAGACTTTAAAGAAAAGTACAATTTTGGCTAAGGTTTTAAAAAGAACTTGTTTCAGAAAATATTTTGTAGCTTTTCTGCAATCTGAATTAAATAATTTTAAAATCTAATAGGATAAAGAATAATCTTTGCATTCTTTTATTCTTTACTAAATTGTTTATCAGTAATCTCGTTCTTGTGTTTGGCATTGAGGTGACGAGTCACCTACCGATATACATTGTCTCTTGCAAAACAAACACATAAATATACTT